CGGGGGTTGTTTACACCCGGAACGGCCCGGCTCGGCCCGCGCTCTCCGGGGGTTGTTTACACCCGGAACGGCCCGGTTCGGCCCGCGCTGTCTGGGGTTGTTTACACCCCGGAACGGCCCGGCTCGGCCCGCGCTCTCCGGGGGTTGTTTACACCCGGAACGGCCCGGCTCGGCCCGTGCTGTCTGGGGCTGTTTACACCCCGGAACGGCCCGGCTCGGCCGCTGTTGCCGGCCGGCCCCGCCGCGGCGGGCGGGCGCTGCCGAGCGGTTCCGGGGCGGAGCGCGGCGGTGCCGGCCGGGCCCGCGCTGCGGGCGGGGGGCGGGGGGGCCGCGCCTTGGCTGCCGGGCGGCGGCTGCGCTCCCGCCGGGGCCGGGGCTGGGGCCGGGGCCGGGAGGCGGCGAGCCTGGGGCCGGAGCCGGGGGGCGGCCAGCCCCGGGGCGGCCGCATGTGCGCCCCGCGGGGCGCCGCGCCAGGACGGAGCGGGCCGGGGCAGAACCGGGCCGGCCCGAGCGGGGCCGTTGCGGGCGGCGGGGCCGCGCGGAGGCGGAGGCGGCCATGGAGGGGTTGGCGGGGTACGTGTACAAGGCGGCCAGCGAGGGCCGCGTGCTCACCTTGGCCGCGCTGCTGCTGAACCGCTCCGAGAGCGACATCAAGTACCTGCTGGGCTACGTGAGCCAGCACGGCGGGCAGCGCTCCACGCCGCTCATCATCGCCGCCCGCAACGGGCACGCCAAGGTGGTGCGGCTGCTGCTCGAGCATTACCGCGTCCACACGCAGCAGACCGGCACCGTCCGCTTCGACGGGTACGTGAGGCCCCGGCCGGGACAGCCCCGGGTGCGGCCGCGGCGGGGCGGGCACGGCCTGGGCTGAGCGAGGCCCTGTGGGCCTCCGGCAGGGCTGGGGTTTGCTGGGGCTCGGGAGGCCTCTGCTGCCCGCCGTGTTCCGTGACCTGATGGGCCTTGTGGTGCTCTGCGTTCTGTGACTTCGTGGGGTTTGTGGGTTCTTTTCAGCTCGGGTTCTTCTGTCACTTGGTGGTGCTTTTTGGGGCCTTTTCCAGCTCAGGATTCTGACACTTGTTGGTGCTTTTGGGGCCCCTTCCAGCTTTGTGTTCTGTCACTTGATGTCCTTGTGGGCCTTTCCACCTCAGGTTATCCCATGACTTGATGGTCCTTGTGGTCCCAGCTCATTCCATGACCTGGTGGACGTTGTGGATCTCTTCCAGCTCAGGATTCTGTGACTTGGTGGTCTTTGTGGGTTGTTTCCAATTCAGACTCTTCCCTGACTTGATGGGGCCCTTCCAGCTCTGTATTCTGTCACTTGATGTCCTTGTGGGCCCTTCCACCTCAGACTATTCCATGACCTGGTGGACCTTGTGGGCCCCTTCCAGCTCAGGATTCTGTCACTTGGTGGTGCTTTTGGGGCCTTTTCCAGCTCTATACTCTGTCACTTGGTGGTGCTTGTGGGTTCTTTCCAATTCAAACTCTTCCCTGACTTGATGAACTCTCATGGGGCTCTTCCAGCTCAGGATTCTGTCACTTGATGTCCTTGTGGACCTCTTCCACCCCAGGCTGCTCTGTGATTCTGTGCCTTACTGGCCCTGTGGGCCTCTTGCAGCTCAGATTATTCTGTGACTTGGTGGCCCTTGGGAGCCCTTCCCAGCCCAGATTATTCTGTGATTGGTGATGCTTGTGTGTCCTTTCCAGCTCAGGATATTCCATGGCTTGGTGGCCCTTGTAGGCTCTGTCCAGCTCAGTATTCTGGGATTTGATGGCCCTTGTGGGTCCCTTTTGACCCAGATTATTCTGGGATTTGATGGCTCTTGTGGGTCCCTTTTGACCCAGATTATTCTGGGATTTGATGGCTCTTGTGGGTCCCTTTTGACCCAGATTATTCTGGGATTTG